TTCCCCTTTTTAGAGCTAATAAATAATAATAAACGTTACACCGGTAACACACACATCCCTCTCACAATATATTGCTTTACAGACCTATCACTTTTGCTGCTCAGGAATGTTCACGCAATCATTCTGCACGTATCAAAATTTCAACGCTCCACTCAGTACATGTGTACCGCACCCGAGCCCAACTGAACCGCGCTCTGGCCCACCTCTTCCAACCGAGCCAGGGCCGGCTAAACGAACCGTGCCCGAGCACAGCACGGAGCGATCACACTAGTCAAATGAACCAGGCTTTGATGGTCAAATGTGCTCGGCCATGGTTAAGATTGCCTAGTGTGAGTACACCCTTATTCTCCCGCAAACTGCGGTGGGCTTAAATGGGTTAAGTGGTGGAGAATAATTTTATCACGCATTAACACAGTTTTTTATTATTATTGCCCGAGGCACGCGCTCGGACACGGTTAAGATTGCCTAGTGTGAGTACACCCTTATTCTCCCGCATCCTGCACACACGAGTCTCTACACGCCCGCACTCATAGTCGCATCAAGTGTTGTCCCACGCCGCACTCTGCTGTGTTGGGTCCCGCGATAGTGCAGGTCTCTAAGATGCCTGTTATAATGTTATGATCGAGGCTCTGGACTCTGAGCATAGCTTGTTTTTCAATAACAAACTATAAAATATTGTCTATGAAAACGTTAATGCCCTGGCAGTGGCAAATAGCTTTGGTTTTATATTTAATTTGATTACATTAATGTTATAAGTTGAGATTTACAAGAAATATTTTAACTGCTACTATGTAAGGAGTAAGGAATACTGCTGTAAAAAAGCACCTTATTTGTTTAAAGTGCATTTTTGTTCATATAGCAGTACGTTTAAATGAAAAAAGTGCACAATACTACTTTTGAATTTATTATTGAATTTTGTGCATAACAATGCGATTAATCACAGAAAATCATGCGATTAATCGCGATTCAAATGTTTTATCGTTGCCCAGCACTAATAATAACCTCTCCCTTCTAAGTGTAATGACTTGATTACTTAATTTTAGGGAATTAATTATTATTAATTCATTCAGGTTTTGAGAGGACTCGGATCTGAAAATTCGAGGTCCACCTGATTAAAACTAAATTCAAATTTGATAGTTTACACTCTATCAGCTACTCGGCCAGCGAGAAGTTAATGTCAGTGTATATTACCAATTTGACTATATGTATTTCCCTGGCCACGGGTAATACGATATTTTGATAATTTGTAAGCTCTTAGAGAGGTAACAATAATCTTGGCAAAGGTTTTGACTTTAAAATTTTACGACACCAGACAATGATTCTTTATAAATGAAACATGAATTTTATTGGCTATTCTAGATTACATTAAAACTAGGCTAAAACTTGAGTCTGCAGAAATGCTTGGTGTTAAAGATATAGCCTCCATAAATAGCACACTAGTGTTCTCGTTAATGCATCTCTTTCTGACAGAGACCGATCTAGATTCAGTGGTAACAGAGATCAATATATCAAAGAAAATACAGAAGTGATCAGATAGTGCTACGTCCTTAATAACAATGAATGAAATGTTTAGACCTCTACTGATGAGTGAATCTTCATGAAGGGCAAAATTACCTATATAGACCAAAATCACTTTTTGTACCAGGCTGTAAACATTTTTTCTGCTGTAAAGTTGGGCATTTTAACATGGGGAGTCTACGGGACTGACTCCCTTTTGGAGCCAGCCTCTAGTGGTCAGTCGATGAATTACAGTTTTAGTCACTTCCGTATTGGCATCAAGCGAGAAACCGGGAGGTCGCCGCTTGGTGTAGAGTAGCACTTGTTGTTTGTCATTTCTCCGATCACAAATGCAGACATGGTTTTATGTTTACGCGGCGCGATGCAACGCAGCACGTAAAAGGACAGTATAAGTCATTATAATCCGTAATTATGTCCCCACTGGATGCAATAAATGCCTTGTTTGTAATGGGTTTTACTGGTTTTGTCTGGTCGTTCCGGGAGATGGCATCACAGTATGGTAAGGGTCGTAACATTTCCGTCACACGCTTGAGGTATTCGGCCAATCACAATGCATTAGATAGCTGGCCAATCACAGCACACCTCGCTTTTCAGACCGATGAGCTTTGTAAAAATCGACGCGTTTCAGAAAGTCGGGGCATAGAGAAGAAACAATAATGTACAGTATGTGGAAAATTATGTGTTTTTTTAACCTTAACCCGCATAAACACATTTCATTACACCAAATACACAAAATAATGTTCTTTTTAGCAGCAGCATATGACCCCTTTAAAACAAACAAATTGTTATACATGAAGGTTACAATTAGAGGCTACTAAACAAATAATAATAAGAATACAATTTAGAATAAGTAAACTAATGAGATTACTAAACAGGGGAAAATGAGCATAAGATGTAAAATCAAACGTCTAAAACCTGGGAAAATGTCTCAGTGCAGAAAAACAGAGATGAACCAGAGACATTAAGATTTACGATAACCCCATTAGACACTAGGAATGTGAAACTTAGCGAGAGCAGAATAAAGAACAGAAAAGCGTGAAGAGACCACATTACAAAATAAAAAGAGTTGTAGATGAGATTTTTAACCTGCTAGGAGAAGAAGTATTAGGAGAAACAGAGAATACATGTGAGCAGTTAGAAGTGCAGAGTCCAGGGTCAGTCAGAAATACCACCGAAGCGCCTCAGTGGATCTTTATAACACACGCTGTTACTATTAAACGCTTTGAGTTAGAAGCTGAGACAATAATGTTGTACTGAATTAAAATCAGAATCAGTAGAGGGGTTAAAATAATACATTTAACCTTGATAGGGACAGGACAGTATAGACATTCTGTGACAGCTGTAATTAATGGAATATTGACAGGAATAATAAGGAATTCAGAAGAGGAATTTCCTCCGAAATTATATTTGTTAATGAATAATAGTGATAGAGATCAATTTAAACAAAGTTACGTTAAAAGAAAAAGAACTATAAAACCCTGCAGAACAACAGTTTCTGCTTCAGAGAGAGAAGGAGAACAGCAGGATCAGTCAGAAATAAGAAATAAGACGTTTTACAGATAGTTTAGAAGGAGAGCAAGAAAATGACACATTTTCATCACAGAAAGTGAAGGCAAAGAGATGTAATTAGAAATACAGAGGGATACAAGACTGTGACATACATTACAGTAAGAAAGGAGAAATATTGCACCTAAGGAGAGTACATAAACAAATTCAGAATGATTGGTCAAAAGCTGAAATTAGAGGGATCAAATATAAAAATCCCAGTACTAAGAAGAGAGGAAGAGACCTAATGAGATAGTGGGATAGGAATATTGATCATATTTTAACTTCTGGGTAAATGAGAACGACTAGTCGAAATCAGTAAAACAGGTAATATTCTAGGAAAGTTAATAGAAAAATAGTTAGGGAGCTGGAGACAGTGAGCTATAGTGCGATTAGAATCAGAAACATCTGAAAGCTGGGACAGTGCAGAAACAATAGAAGGCAGTCTTTTACTCCTGCTGCTGGAACGAGAGGAATTCAGTTAGGCATTCAGAGTCTGTAACACAGGAGAAGAAACACATATACAGGCAAAGTTGCTGGAGCTGCAGCTGACAAATGCAGTTAGAAAGGAGATAGGACCTAAGAGGTCAGGAGAACATAATAATGCAGATACAGATTGTGTTATTAAAGAGACAGAAAATGCATGTTTAAATTGAGAGGATATAGCTTATTACATAAGTGCACAGGACTTGTTATAAGAGCAGAAGTCATAAAAAAAGTGAGAAATTTAACAAGGACAGAAGATAAACATTCACAATGGAAGGAAATGCTAATTAATGCATCTACAGACCGAATTCCATTGTTAAGCATATGGTTATCTCTAGAAGATGAAATACCAATAACAGATCAAGTAAGATAGCAGGTGTGAGTTGGAGCTGTTTGGAGCTAAACTGTGCAGAGCTTTGAGACCGCTGATTTACAAATAATAAGTTACAAAAGTAAAAAACATATTAAAAACTTCAAAGAATATATTCGTTTATTTTACATGTTCACTATGTGAGAGTGTGTGTTACTGTATCAAGTCTTTTTTAACCATGTAGTGCACATTCGAACGCTGACACACTCCTGACAATGTTTTCCTGCAGCTTATTGGCATTGACCAGCAGGTGGCGCTAGCGTGCATTGAAATAAATGAACTACTTTTCAACGCATCTGTCTGCAAAGCTTCAAAAGCTTCACGAGGCTTCATCTCGCCACCACTAGTGAAACGAATCTTCTTAATTCGTTTCACTAGTGGAAGATTAATGGTGGCGCCCCTGCTGGACTGGAGTGTGAAGCGTCGAGAGAAGGAAAATAACACACAGGGAAAATACAAAGGTGCACTGTTTTTTTATTTTTTTTTATTTTTTAGATGTTTGTAATCAAGAGTTTACACAAAGGGCCAATTCGGAAAAAAATGCACAATATCTTTACTATTTAAAGTCTATTATCAACCACGTTTAGACTGTGAAATAGACTCAAATAAGTATTCAGCACATATCTGAAGACAAAAGAAGAGGTTTGTGAATTGTGAATTTATAATTCTGCGTATGGTATTTGACATAAAAACATGTTATAGTATGATGTATGTGGGAAAGAAAATCATATATTTTCATAAGTAAGGATTTGTCACTGGATTGAAATGATCAGTGAACGAATAAAAAAAAACATACCTCTGTAAGTATGTCATACAATAACTAACAGACATGTGTCACAACATCAGTTAAAATGGACTATACAACATTTAAAAAGCCTTCTGTAAAAAGTTTAATGCAACAATTAGATGAATCAAGGCTAACCACATACTGAATTATATGTATATGCAGCAAATATCCTTGAAAGCTGCATGCAAATATTCATAATATAATTGAGATGAAGATAAATCTTGCTGTAATTTGTTATTTGTAGCGAGTATTTATTCTAATATTGTATTCATCACTATTTCCTCTGGTGCTGCGAATCCTTCCTCCCTGCAAAATAATTCAACACAAAATCATCACTGAGCTCTCAGATTATTAAAGATCAATGTGCATCATCTGAAAAACTCACCAGCTCTTCTTGCACAGATGATCTGAAGAAGAATCACAGTAGGAGCAGCAAATGCTGCAAACTTAACAATAATCACAATCACTGCAGGAAAGATGATGATAGACACAATCAGGAGAAAAAACAGACTCAATCTGTGAAACTGGGAGTGAAATCAAAGCATGGTAAAGACGTGTGGTACCTCTGAATAATGATCCAGCAGTCCTTCTGACTTCAGTTTCTGCTGGATCTGTGATCATGTCTGTTAGTTCAGATAAAAAACATAATGAACATCATCAACATCACATCATACTAGAGCTTCACATCACAGACATGATGAATGAACTCGCACTGCTTCATTAATCTACCATCTACTATCATTTTATTTCAGTCCCAAGGTGTTGGGAGAAAACGTCTCAGGTTACGTATGTAACCATGGTTCCCTGAGTAGGGAACTTCAAACTGCGTCCTCTAGGGGTCGCTATGGGGACCACCTCGTCGTGACCCGTGTCTGAAGCATACATTGAAAAAACACCAACAGCACGTTGGCCGGCGACAGCCATGATGTCACTACCGGTGCGACTATAGTATAAATAGGCGCCGAGAGAACACATCATCCACTTCTTCATCTGAAACTTGCGTCCGAAGCATGGCAATAATCCTAGAGGACGCAGTGTCTCGTTCCCTACTCAGGGAACCATGGTTAAATACGTAACCTGAGACATTTCCTTTCATGGGAACTTCGAACTGCGTCCTCTAGGGGTCGCTATGGGGAATGGTATACCCACGCCACCATGCTGAGGGGAGTGCATGCCAGAAACCATGGCGAGCACTAAGTACCAACTCTACCATATTGCAATGGGAGTTGCCCCTGGGACGTTAGACGGCTGTCAGTGACATTATTCCCTACGGCCAAAGGCTTAGGCTACATGCGGGCGGGGGAGGAGCGCGAGCCTTCTGTGCCCGTCTCTGATTCTCAAACCGAGATGGGCCAGGACCCCTGGGTTGTTCGGACTCAGATCTGGACCTTCGTGAAGGCCGCTGAGCGCGCCTTTGCCTCCCTGAACTTCTCAACCACCGTCTCAATGGAGGTACCAAAAATACGGAAGGCGAAACCGGCGCATCGAGAAGAAAGCCCCTCTCTTTCTTCCCGATATCTGCTAAGTTCACCCACAGAGGTCCCTCCGTCACTACCATAGCCGCCATGAACCTGCCACTAGCAGAGGCAGCCTGCTTAGTAGCACGTAGAGCGAGATCCATGGTGCGGCGCACTCAGCTACCTCATCAGGAGAAAGGCCCCCGCCTTAATCCAGGTCTTTCAGCAGGTCAGCCTGATATGCTTGGAGCATCACCATTGTGTGCAATGAAGCGAAAGTCCGACCTGCTGCTGCTGCGTATGCCCTGGCATCCGAGCGAGATGTCAAGGAGGGGAGTCTTAGAGGACGTCTCACCCATAAAGAGATAGCTGACCAGCATCTCTCTATAGGGGCATCTTCTCATAACCACTTTCGCGCATCGCCTCAATGTTGGCATAACTTGTATGCTGGAATCGATGGATGCGTGAGGAAAAGCGGCCTCTTCCATTCCTTCTCAATCTCTGTATGAAAAACAGGAAGAAAGGAAGGCTCACCAGAGCTGGAGGGTTATGGCCAGAAAAATAACGTTCATCGAGATGATCTCGCGACGTCACTTTCTTCGCCCACTTCACGGCAAGTAAAGCCTCACCGTGGCGCGATCCATAACTTTCAAAAGCTCATCATACGCAGGGCAGGAGGTTTGGGAAGGCTCAGCCTCAGCTTCTTTGCCCTCCTCAGATATTTCCTGCTTTTGCTGGGCTGAACCCAGCAGAGCACTGGCCCCTGGATCAGACGAAGTTAATGAAATAACATCATCCTCCAGCAGCTCATTCTCGTCCACAGCCGATGAGCGTGAGAGGGAAAACCCCTCTTCAACCTCATTGGCCAGATCCACCTGCGATCCCCACAAGCTCATTCTCCTCTGTGCCTCAGCAGCGGCGGGTCCTGAATCACAGGAAGCAGATGGCTGTCCGTCTTTCCTCGAAAAGAGAGACAAACGAGAGCGGAGCTTTTTCATTGGAAATAACGCTCGCAGTGCACGCCGATTGCCCCCTCGGAGGCATCGCGTACGTGCTCTTCGCCCAAAAAAATAATACCCACGCCACCATGCTGAGGGGAGTGCATGCCAGAAACCCACTAAGTAACTAAGTACCAACTCTACCATATTGCAATGGGAGTTGCCCCTGGGACGTTAGACGGCTGTCAGTGACATTCGGCCAAAGGTTCGGGCTCAGACCTGGACTTTTGTGAAGACCGCTGAGCACACCTTTGCCTCCCTGAACTTCTCGACCACCGTCTCAACGGAGGTACCAAAAATACGGAAGGCGAAACCGGCGCATCGAGAAGAAAGCCCCTCTCTTTCTTCCCGATATCTGCTAAGTTCACCCACAGAGGTCACTACCATAGCCGCCATGAACCTGCCACTAGCAGAGGCGGCTTGCTTAGTAGCACGTAGAGCGAGATCCATGGTGCGGCGCACTCAGCTACCTCATCAGGAGAAAGGCCCCCGCCTTAATCCAGGTCTTTCAGCAGGTCAGCCTGATATGCTTGGAGCATCACCATTGTGTGCAATGAAGCGAAAGTCCGACCTGCTGCTGCTGCGTATGCCCTGGCATCCGAGCGAGATGTCAAGGAAGGGAGTCTTAGAGGACGTCTCACCCATAGAGAGATAGCTGACCAGCGTCTCTCTATAGGGGCATCTTCTCATAACCGCTTTTGCGCATCGCCTCAATGTTGGCATAACTTGTATGCTGGAATCGATGGATGCGTGAGGAGCCTCTTCCATTCCTTCTCAATCTCTGTATGAAAAACAGGAAGAAAGGAAGGCTCACCAGAGCTGGAGGGTTATGGCCAGAAAAATAACGTTCATCGAGATGATCTCGCGACGTCACTTTCTTCGCCCACTTCACGGCAAGTAAAGCCTCACCGTGGCGCGATCCATAACTTTCAAAAGCTCATCATACGCAGGGCAGGAGGTTTGGGAAGGCTCAGCCTCAGCTTCTTTGCCCTCCTCAGATATTTCCTGCTTTTGCTGGGCTGAACCCAGCAGAGCACTGGCCCCTGGATCAGACGAAGTTAATGAAATAACATCATCCTCCAGCAGCTCATTCTTGTCCACAGCCGATGAGCGTGAGAGGGAAAACCCCTCTTCAACCTCATTGGCCAGATCCACCTGCGATCCCCACAAGCTCATTCTCCTCTGTGCCTCAGCAGCGGCGGGTCCTGAATCACAGGAAGCAGATGGCTGTCCGTCTTTCCTCGAAAAGAGAGACAAACGAGAGCGGAGCTTTTTCATTGGAAATAACGCTCGCAGTGCACGCCGATTGCCCCCTCGGAGGCATCGCGTACGTGCTCTTCGCCCAAAAAAATAACGCATAGATTCTGTGTGTCATCAGATGTTAAACAACGACAACACGGATGCACACATCCTTAAATGCTTTGCTAGTGCTCGCCATAATGAGATAAATAGAGATCGCTCTTACCACAGAAATGCACGCTTCAAACAAAACAGTCAGTAGTCGCACCGGTAGTGACGTCATGGCTGTCGCCGGCCAACGTGTTGTTGGTGTTTTATCAATGTATGCTTCAGACACGGGTAACGACAAGGCATTCCCCATAGCGACCGCTAGAGGACGCAGTTCGAAGTTCCCATGAAAGGGAACTGATGGTTGCCATTTACCAAAAATTTTAAAAGAATCTTTTTCTCCAATGTGATCTCTTTCTTGTTTATAGATATGTGTGTGTAAAGTGTGACGTTTTGTAAGTTTGCATGAACACTGAAGTGTAGAACATCAGCAGCTAAACATATGACAGTGTATGAAAACATGTTAAATGCACATGTATTTATGAATCTTTGAGGTTTCAGTGCTGAACTCATGAATCAGCAGGCAGATGTTCTTGTGGTCGGATGTAAAGCAGTGACGTGAGAGACTGCTGATGTGTGTCAGTGATCATGAACCTTGTGTAGGACCTGCTGCTGGAGTTTGTCTTGATGTCGTCTCAGAGTTTGAGCTGCTGACTGGAATCTAGATGCTTCATAATAACATCATATTTTCATTAACATAATATAATGTGTTCCATCATCAGATGAAGAAAAGCAGAAGGAGTGGTGTTTCCATCAAGGCTATTTCTATCTATAAACAGCTGTTTAGGACCCTGAGCTGCAGCAAAGCGAGGTGTTGTCTGTTATTTCTCCATTAGACAGTTATAGGAGCCTCTTGTGGCCTGAGATGATACTGCAACCCATAAACCAACAACCCATGTCCTGACCTGAATGAATGACATCATTATGTCTCTGGAGTTTGTCTTGATGTCGTCTCAGAGTTTGAGCTGCTGACTGGAATCTGTGAATTTATAATGACCGGAGCTGCAGAAGATGAACGTTCAGATGCTTCATAATAACATCATATTTTCATTAACATAATAATGTGTTCCATCATCAGATGAAGAAAAGCAGAAGGAGTGGTGTTTCCATCAAGGCTATTTCTATCTATAAACAGCTGTTTAGGACCCTGAGCTGCAGCAAAGCGAGGTGTTGTCTGTTATTTCTCCATTAGACAGTTATAGGAGCCTCTTGTGGTCTGAGATGATACTGCAACTGTATCAGTCCGTTTTCTGAAAGGGAGTTAGGAAAGTTAGTTTCTGACCTGAACTCTTGACAGTGTATGTGACTGAGCTCTTGACTTGATCTCTCCGAGTAACTTCACATCTCCACTCTCTGTTGTGATCTTCATTCAGGAGTGTTGTATTCAGAGTGATGATACAGTGATCTGATGAGAATAATATCTGATATCTGGAGTCTGATCTCGTCAGTTTGACACCAGCCTGATTCACCCAGAACAGCTCAATTCTCTCAGAACGGATCCAATCATCACAAGCAAGAGAATAAGAGTGTGTCGACAGAGACACACTAGTCGAGTGGAGCCCAAGGTACCGGAGTCTAAACCAACTCTAAGAAAGGGAACGAGGCAAATAACGCGTAACCCTTACCATACAGGGTTTCAGAAAAGTGGGCAAAGCATAACGTGCACACTTACCACTTATGTGGATTTTAGAAAGTAGGCAAAGCATAACGTGCACACTTACCACCTATGTGGATTTTAGAAAGTGCGCAAAGCATAACGTGCACACTTACCACTTATGTGGATTATGTGGATCCGGACGTCCAGAAAATCTTTGCAGTGCCATGCCAGGGGCCTAATGATCAAGAAGGCTCCCGCAGAAGCCTGTGACCTGGCTGCATAATCCAGGAAGTATGAAGCTGAAACCCGGTTTATCGTACCATCTAAGACATAATCGACAAGTGAAATAAACACTGCAAGACGAGCACCCGGTTTCTGAACCCAGCAGAAGGGGTGCTCATCAAGGACCTACCCTAGAAAATGGACAGAAACACACAGGTCCCGGGAACACTGCAAAGAAAGCCAGCAGAAGGATTATACACACAACCACCAGCGCATTAAATACACATACACACACATATATATTTAGAAATGGATCATACTCACCCACCATGGTTCCCGCGTCGGAGCCCCGTCCAAAGAAGCCTCTGGTCCGGACCATCAGTAAGGTGGTCACTATGAAGCCATAGAACCAACCAAACATCATAGGTCCAGCATAGGAGACTGTAATGCAGGAAATTCCCATCTAACCTCGGTCAGGTGGAGAGATGGTGGTTACAGGGGAATTAGGAAGGGGGAGATAAGGGCAGATGTAAGACCCCCGAAGGAAATGAGTAGATACTGAGGTATCACTCTGATCCGGACAAAAGCGCTGACGCCCTGTCTGGATCACATCCCTTAGGTCTTTTACCTACCTTCCTTTGCCCCGCGATTCTTCCTACCCCTACCCGCGGGCGACAGCCCAACCTGCTGCTGCTGCGTATGCCCTGGCATTCGAGCGAGATGTTAAGAAGGGAGCCTTAAGAGAGGGTGTCTCACCCATAGAGAGATGGCTGGCCAGCGTCTCTCTATAGGGGCATCTTCTCATAACCGCTTTCACGCTTCGCCTCGATGTTGGCATAACTCATATGCTGAAATCGATGGATGTGTGAGGAAAAATGGCCTCTTCCATTCCTTCTCAATCTCTGTATGAAAAACAGGAAGAAAGGAAGGCTCACCAGAGCTGGAGGGTTATGGCCAGAAAAATAACGTTCATCGAGATGATCTCGCGACGTCACTTTCTTCGCCCACTTCACGGCAAGTAAAGCCTCACCGTGGCGCGATCCATAACTTTCAAAAGCTCATCATACGCAGGGCAGGAGGTTTGGGAAGGCTCAGCCTCAGCTTCTTTGCCCTCCTCAGATATTTCCTGCTTTTGCTGGGCTGAACCCAGCAGAGCACTGGCCCCTGGATCAGACGAAGTTAATGAAATAACATCATCCTCCAGCAGCTCATTCTTGTCCACAGCCGATGAGCGTGAGAGGGAAAACCCCTCTTCAACCTCATTGGCCAGATCCACCTGCGATCCCCACAAGCTCATTCTCCTCTGTGCCTCAGCAGCGGCGGGTCCTGAATCACAGGAAGCAGATGGCTGTCCGTCTTTCCTCGAAAAGAGAGACAAACGAGAGCGGAGCTTTTTCATTGGAAATAACGCTCGCAGTGCACGCCGATTGCCCCCTCGGAGGCATCGCGTACGTGCTCTTCGCCCAAAAAAATAACGCATAGATTCTGTGTGTCATCAGATGTTAAACAACGACAACACGGATGCACACATCCTTAAATGCTTTGCTAGTGCTCGCCATAATGAGATAAATAGAGATCGCTCTTACCACAGAAATGCACGCTTCAAACAAAACAGTCAGTAGTCGCACCGGTAGTGACGTCATGGCTGTCGCCGGCCAACGTGTTGTTGGTGTTTTATCAATGTATGCTTCAGACACGGGTAACGACAAGGCATTCCCCATAGCGACCGCTAGAGGACGCAGTTCGAAGTTCCCATGAAAGGGAACTGATGGTTGCCATTTACCAAAAATTTTAAAAGAATCTTTTTCTCCAATGTGATCTCTTTCTTGTTTATAGATATGTGTGTGTAAAGTGTGACGTTTTGTAAGTTTGCATGAACACTGAAGTGTAGAACATCAGCAGCTAAACATATGACAGTGTATGAAAACATGTTAAATGCACATGTATTTATGAATCTTTGAGGTTTCAGTGCTGAACTCATGAATCAGCAGGCAGATGTTCTTGTGGTCGGATGTAAAGCAGTGACGTGAGAGACTGCTGATGTGTGTCAGTGATCATGAACCTTGTGTAGGACCTGCTGCTGGAGTTTGTCTTGATGTCGTCTCAGAGTTTGAGCTGCTGACTGGAATCTAGATGCTTCATAATAACATCATATTTTCATTAACATAATATAATGTGTTCCATCATCAGATGAAGAAAAGCAGAAGGAGTGGTGTTTCCATCAAGGCTATTTCTATCTATAAACAGCTGTTTAGGACCCTGAGCTGCAGCAAAGCGAGGTGTTGTCTGTTATTTCTCCATTAGACAGTTATAGGAGCCTCTTGTGGTCTGAGATGATACTGCAACTGTATCAGTCCGTTTTCTGAAAGGGAGTTAGGAAAGTTAGTTTCTGACCTGAACTCTTGACAGTGTATGTGACTGAGCTCTTGACTTGATCTCTCCGAGTAACTTCACATCTCCACTCTCTGTTGTGATCTTCATTCAGGAGTGTTGTATTCAGAGTGATGATACAGTGATCTGATGAGAATAATATCTGATATCTGGAGTCTGATCTCGTCAGTTTGACACCAGCCTGATTCACCCAGAACAGCTCAATTCTCTCAGAACGGATCCAATCATCACAAGCAAGGGAATACAACTGACAGAAGAGAGTCACAGAGCGGCCTGCACTGATCTCAGTCTGTGAGGATGATGAAGATGAAGAGACTGAAACACAGAATAACACACAAATCACACACTCTTCAATCATCAGGAGAGTTTAAATGAAGAATAAATTGACCACATAATCGTAAAATTACCATGAAGAACATGCAGATAAACATAAGTATCAGTTCCTTGTTGTTTGTCATTCACATATTGACGGCAGATGTAAAATCCATAATCTTGTTTTGTGATGTTGTTGATGTTCAGAGAGCAGTCAGACCCCAAACTCAGTCTCTCATGACTCTCTGTGTCTTTCTTCTTTATCCCTAAACCGATCAGTTCAACTGCTGCTGAATCTCTGAATCTGTTATAGTTCCATGTAGTTGATTTGCAGTCAGGAAGAGCATTATTACAGGACAGACGGACATTTTGACCAGAGCTGATAAACACATGAGCGTCATCCACTCCACTGATACCTGAAACACAAGAACATCTCATCATATTATATATTAATAAATGATAACCTCTAACACAGCAGCATGAAGATTCAGATCACACAGTCTTTTAACCTCACTTAATGTAGACAACACGCTCTCCAGAATGTTTGTAAATGTGAGTCTGAGATCAGAACATGTTCAAACTCTATAAAGAGCGTGTAGAAATGTGTTTACCTGTGAGAAGTGAGGAGAGAAAGATCAGTCCCAGCAGACACAGATCACACTCATCAGACATGTTCTCTTTCTGTCAGCCTTTCTTTCTTTAACATCATCTGCTCCTCTTCTGCTCATCAGCTCTCTGTGTTCAGACAGACAACCACATAAAGAGCAGCATGAGTGTCCAGATTCACAGCCATCATCAGTCTGATCTGGGTTCAGAGATGATCACAGTAACAACAGTGAGATCACAGCTCTGAAAACACTACAGAAACATGTCACACTAAGTGTACCGCCCACACTAACCAAGCTCAATTACACAGACGAGCAAAGGTCAAGACAAGCCCGTAATCCCCATTTGTATATTTATTATTATTATTATTTTTTTTAAATAGCTAACAAACACATTTTTGATGACGAATCTCAAAAATCTCAGTTTTTCTGCACTGGAAGCTTCTGACGTCAAGTCTAATTCCTTACTCGATGACAAAGCTCTTTCTGATTTCTGACTTCTGAAGAGTTTACAGTTGTCTATGGATATGCCTATGTTCATGTATTTAGTCTTAGCCGAATAGATCTGTGATGCTGCTGCTGCACAAATAGTGTGTGTACTTAGACGCAGCAGAATGTTTTCTATACTCTACGTACATTGGCTTGTATTGTTCATCATCTTGTCTCCTGCCCTGTTGAGGGGGATTTCTCATATGCATCATCATTACGCCCATAAGTGACTTCAGACATCAAGTTTCCATAGTAAATGAACACTGGAACTCAGACTCTGAAAGGAGCCTATACTAAGCCACGAACTAAGTCGAGACTTTTGTGCAACACTAAATATAACACACACATAGTTAGTTTGACCACACAGGTTATTAAAGAAACCAGAAACAAAGAAGAAGAACTGGAATGTGTGAGAATTCACACCCATCAGTCCAAACTGGGTCCAGAGATCATCAGTTGTGTGTGGGTTAAGATGCCACTTCCTCTTCTTTCTTCAAGCGAGTTTTCTTTAACCTCTGCGCTCAACCTCAACAGTGAGATCACCGCTCTGAAAAATATTATAAAGTGACATGATGTACAGCCAACACACACACACACACACACACACACACTCTCACACACACACACTCACTCTCTCTCACACACACACACACTATGTGTATAATACATATTTATTTTTAAATAAAAACATCTAAATATACTTGCTTTTAAAATGTATTATATATTTTATTATTGTATTTATTTATTAAACCTCTTAACCCTCATAAAACACACACTCACTCTCTCTCTCACACTCACACTCTCTCTCACACTCACACTCACACACTCACACACTCACACTCTCACTCTCACACTTTCTCTCACACTCACACTCTCTCACTCTCACACACACACACTCACTCTCTCTCTCACACACACACAAACACTCACACACACAAACACTCACTCTCTCTCTCTCCCTCACGCACACACACACACACTCACACACTCTCACACACACACAAACACTCACACACACATACATACAAACACTCACACACACACACTCACTCTTTCACACACACTCACACACTCTCTCTCTCACGCACACACACACACACACACACACACACACACACACACCCTCTCTCACACACTCTCTATATATTTTTTTTTTTAAATGTGCCAAGTGTGGAGCTGAAGCTCTGAACGACGTCTACTTATGCACCAGGGGACCTCCAGAGACTGCAATGCAACTGTGTGTGGAAACACAAGAGCAATTGTACCAAGTGTTTCTTCACAATCTAACTTTATTTTAATGCAACTCTAAACACACATTATCACCATTGCACAAATATTCTGATGGAAATCCAAAATGCTTAATAAATTATTATAACCCGCAGATATTTTCTGGGCTTGACACTAATACAAATACACTTCTCAATGTATGAATGCAATCATATATATATATACACAGTCAAACTAAAAATTATTAAGACAAAATGTGCAGGACACTAGAGTTCATGTAAGTGAGGAGAATAAAATAAAGTAAACTGTGACATATTATACCCAAAAATTCTTCATACAGTGGACTACAGTAAAATTGATAAAAAAGTGGGGACCAAAAGTTATTCAGACATTTGAGCTGACCATGTTTTGCTTAAGTGTGTAGCGTCTGGACCACTCAAACACACAATATATATTTTGTTAGCTAGATTTAACAAATACTCTGTAACACCCCAGGAAGCCGAACAGGCCCCTGGTTCCATAGCAACCCTGACACCAGATACATTT